GTCCCCAGAATTTACAAAAACAGAAGTTTTTCTTGATGATCTGACATGAATCATGAATGATGAAAGATGCTAGGAATTGATTGCTACTTATTCATATACCCTGATGGTTTCTCTGTGCAAGACTTGGGATTACATTTCATAAARATTTATAGCCTTTGGCTTTGAATTAGTCTTTAAGAGTCATGTGTAATGTTTCACTTATAATTGGAGCAAATGCAAGATCCTAATTGCTGAAATGGTTTTGACTTGGTTTCTCTATTGTGGTGTTTGCAGAGATTTTATTGTGGAGGAAGACTGGTGTTTGGTCCAGACGCATCTTCGCTTCTTTTGACCGCATCTATGATAGGAGGACCAGCTATCACTTTCTGCGTTAGGATGGTTTATTTGATCGGACATCGCTACCCTGCATTCCATTCTCTGCTTTTGATGGGTGCAGTTATGATCACAATCTTGGTACTATAAATCACTGCTATTTAGTTACTTTTGTAAGCCAGGCCATACCTACACCATCCAAATTCCTGCATCTCTAACTTCCATCTTTTTATTCCGCAGGATTTCGTATTTCTCTTCTTGACATCATCGAGAGACCCCGGGATTATCCCAAGGAACAAAGAAGCGCCTGAAGCAGAAACTCCCCAGGCTATCAGCCAATCGTTGGAATGGGTGAGTAACAAAGCAGGGAAGGCGAAACTACCACGAACAAAAGATATAACAGTGAATGGCTTCTCTGTGAAAGTTAAATTCTGCGATACCTGTCAGCTATACCGTCCTCCTCGTGCTTCTCACTGCTCAATCTGCAACAACTGTGTCCAAAGGTTTGATCATCACTGTCCATGGGTAGGGCAGTGCATCGCCTTGGTAAGTATTACTGGAAATCATTTCCCATCTCTAAAACAAAGAACTAAGTTGGATCTTGTGATATAATATGTTATCTACGGGATTTTTTTGCAGCGTAACTATCCATTCTTCGTCTGTTTCTTGTCATGTTCAACCCTCCTCTGCATCTACGTCTTTGTGTTCTCATGTATCTGCATGCTTGAAGTCCATGGCCAATTCTATCTCGTCCTCGCTGATGACTTAATATTAGGTGCTCTTGTTCTATACTGCTTTGTTTCCGTCTGGTTTGTTGGTGGACTTACCGTCTTCCACTTCTACCTAATCTGCACCAACCAGGCAAGTTTCTTTAGCTTTTTAGCAAGAAGTGAACGGATTTCGTAGTTTCCAATCAGCTATTACCGTTGGTCTGAGTTTTTTGCTATGTTTTTCAGACGACATGTGAGAATTTCCGGTACCATTACGATAAGAATGAAAACCCTTACCGAAAGGGGATCTTACAGAACCTTAAAGAGCTGTTCTTCACAAAGATCCCACCATCTTTGATCAATTTCAGAGATTGGGCGCCAGAAGAAGAAGACGATGTGGAGGTCGGGTCCATCGCCTCTGAACGAGGCAGAGCCTATAGTCCCCGAGACACGGATATGAGCAGTGGCAAGCCCGATCATAATAACATTGATTTGCGCCTTCAGAACCAGGAGTATGGTAACAAAAGTGACGCAGCTGTCCAGGAGATAAGTGTCGATGAAGGCGCCACAGCGATTGGCTCGGTTGACCAAGAACCCGCGAATTTGAGGAGAAACTCGAGCGTAGATGTGAGATCAAGATAGGGCAAAGAACAGGCCAAACAGGTGTAAATTTACTTCTGTAATGCAAAGCCATGTCGCTCTCTCTCTCTCACTGTGATTATTCGTCGAATGACTGTTTTAACTTTACCGCAATTAGAATAGGAGTAGGAGAATCAGTGTATATAGCTGTCAATTGCGTTAAGGGTAACTCAATTTAAGATTTCGTTGTCTCCAAATCTCCAATCTTCCAATTAGGGTTTATATAAGTGTTGTTTCTTGGATCT